AAATCAAACGTGTTTTGGGCAAATCAGGATCCATGGTCACCCTAGTTCTTGGTGATACCCCAGATATTGTTGAATGCTTGGACCAAACTATACATGAAGCCTGATCTATCTGGACTTTTCTTTTCTTCTTCTTTTTTTTTTTTTTTTTTTTTTGAGACGGAGTCTTGCTCTGTAGCCAGACTGGAGTGCAGAGGCAAGATCTCGGCTTACTGCAACCACCCCGGGTTCAAGTGATTCTCCTGCCTCAGCCTCCCAAGTAGCTGGGACTATAGGCACGTGCCACCACACCCAGCTAATTTTTGAATTTTTTGGTAGAGATGGGGTTTCACCATGTTGGCCAGGATGGTATCGATCTCTTGACCTCGTGATCTGCCCACCTGGGCCTCCCAAAGTGCTGGGATTACAGGTGTGAGCCACCGCGCCTGGGCTGGACTTTTCAATTAGATGAACCAATGTATTCTTATTATTTAAGCCAGTATGCGTTAGAAGTTCTTACACTAGAAAATATCCTAACTGATACAGTCTCTCAACTTCCTTTCAATTTCTTCTCTGTTTTGAAGCCTTTTGAATTTCTGGGCATATCTGGAAACCTTCCATCACATACATTTATACGTACCGCTCAAATGGCATTTCTTCATTTGATTGAAAACCAATTTCACATTCTGCCTATTTTTTGAAACTTTAAAATAAAATTAAATAACTAAATATTGCAATCTTATATTAGAATGATTAGATTTTAGCTGGACAAGGTGGTTCACACCTTTAATCTCAGCACTTTGGGAGGCCAAGGCAGGTGGATGACTTGAGTCCAGGAGTTTGATACCAGCCTGGGTGACATGGAAAAACTTAGTCTCTACAAAAAATACAAAAATTAGCTGGGCATGGCAGCATGTGCCTGTAGTCCAGCTACTCAGGAGGCTGAGATGGGAGGATCGCTTGAGCTCGGGAGGCAGAGGTTGCAGTGAGCCAAGATCAGTGCACTCCAGCCTGGGTGACAGAGCAAGACCTCATCTCAAAGAATTTTAAAGGAGAACTATTAGATTTCTTTGATAACAATATATAAGTGAGATTAAACTTAATATAGTATAAATACCTTTAATTAGGAACTGAATTGGTATACTCATTACTTTTTAGGCAACACTGTACAAAGCCTGGACAATAGCGAAACAAAGCAATAAGAACTATCAAAGAAGTTTACCAACAAAACTGTTTCTGGCAATGCAATTTAAGTTTCTCATTTGTGGTAGTTGTTACCCTCTTAATAGTAATATCCTGTGAGGCAATCTCCTGTGAGGTTGTTTGATGCCCATGTAAGTTGGTGACTGTAGGTGTCTTTTGTGTTAAGGATTCCATCGCTTTTTGGTATTATATGTGTTCCATGCTGCTTAACATTTTTAAATCCCATGCCTACATCACTTCATTGATGCCTTCATTCAGTTGATGGATTCCTTCACCATGCGTGTATTAGTATACCTAGTTTGTGTAAGGCACTGAGCTAAGCATGGGGTGCCTATGCTCTCCAAGAATAGCCATGTGGCTGGGGAGAGAGGGTATGCAACATCCTGACTTTAATACAGCTTCTTTTAATTTTCTTACTTTTTTTGAGACAGGGTCTCACTCTGTCGCCCAGCTTGGAGTGCAAGGGTGTGATCTCGGCTCACCGCAACCTCTTCCTCTTGGGTTCAAGTGATTCTCCTACCTCAGATTCCCAAGTAGCTGGGATTACAGGTGCACACCACCGTGCCCAGATAATTTTTTATATTTTTAGCAGAGATGGGGTTTCCCCATGTTGGCTAGGCTGGTCTTGAACTCCTGACCTCAGGTGATCCACCCATCTCGGCCTTCCAAAGTGTTGGGATTACAGGCATGAGCCACCACACTCAGCCTAATACAGCTTCTTAACTGATGTGGCTGGGCAAGAGTTACAGGAGTTTCTCCTCAACTTCAGGGAAGCCTGGACAGCGTTTCAGACCCTAAGCAGTGTCAGCAATTTAGCCAGGGGCTCTCAACAAATACTACAATTTTCTTCGTGAATCACAATGTAGAAAAAAATGTATGCTGCTAATTATTGTAACAGGTATTAAAAAGTAGTAATGGAAAAGAGAGGAGAATACGTTCTGCCTGAAGTGCGTGAGAAGAGCTGCATCTAAGCAGGATTCCCGTAAGCAGATAGTACAGGGAAGTAGACAGAAATGATTTTAAAAAAATACACACATGCTGTGATTCTGCAGTCTTCCTGTTGGGAATCTATTTTACAGAAATTAAATCAGCAGGAGGTAAAGACATATGTACAAAGATGTTGATTATAGCCTTGTTTATGGTAGCAAAAGACTATAAACAACATAATTATGTCAACAGCAGAATGGTTGAATACATCATGATATATCCATACTATGGAATGCCTGCAGCTTTTAAAAAGAATTAAATCTGTATGTGTTGACCTGTAGTTGTAAAAGTAAGTTCTTTAGCAATGTGAATAGCTAGATCCATTTTTGTGAGGCAACAACTTATAAATGGGTATATGTTGATCTATGAATACAAAGGAAGCTGTAGAAGGATGCACCAACCTGTTAATATTGGTTATGTGGGTAGTGGTGGTTAACAGTGTGGTACTGGTTTATTATTTGTTCTTTTATAGATCTCTATTCTATTGGTATTGTTAAAATGTTTTTTTGTTTGTTTGTTTGTTTTTTGAGACAGAGTTTCGCTTTTGTTGCCCAGGCTGGAGTGCACTGGTGTGATCTCGGCTCACTGCAACCTCTGCCTCCCAGGTTCAAGTGATTCTCCTGCCTCAGCCTTCTGAGTAGCTGGGACTATAGGCATGTGCCACCATGCCCGGCTAATTTGTATTTTTAGTACAGACAGAGTTTCTCCATGTTGGTCAGGCTGGTCTTGAACTCCCAACCTTAGGTGATCCACTTGTACAGGTCGATATAACAGGTGGCCCACCTCAGCCTCCCAAAGTGCTGGGATTAAAGGTGTGAGCCACTGCGCCCCACCACAATGATCTTTTAAAATTGCCATTAAATATTGGTGTTTTAGAGAGGGAGACACAAATCCTGGGACAAGAGCGATAGGTGAGAACTGAGTGCAGGCTTGTGAAGGGGCCCTCTTGTGAAGTGTTAAGTTCTCACATGATTTTATTTCTGTGGAGAGGAAAATGTAATGGATTTGAAGCTTCGTCTCCTCTTTTCCTGCTCTGTATTTTTTTTTTTAAATAACCCAATGTATTAGTCTGTTTTCATGCTGCTGATAAAGACTTACCTGAGACTGGGTAAATTATAAAGAAAAAGAAATTTAATGGACTCACAGATCCACGGTGCTGGGGAGGCCTGACAATCATGGTGGAAGGCAAAAGGCACGTCTTACATGGCAGCAGACAAGAGAGAAAAAATGAGAGCCAAGGGAAAGGGGTAAAACCATAAGATCTCGTGAGACTTATTTACTATCACGAGAACAGTATGGGAGAAACTGCCCCCATGATTCAATTATCTGCCACCGGGTGCCTCCCATAACATTTGAGAATTATGGGAACTATGATTCAAAATGAGATCTGGGGATACAGCCAAACCATATCACCTAGTCTCAGTAGAGAAAGTTATATCCACCTATACAAATGGTTTGATGGAGACTGTGGGAGAAAAGGGAGGGAAGGGGTGACCAGCCCACCTCCATATCTATGCTGGTCACCTCGGCAGACCAACCAGCAGGCCCAGGAAGAGGCCTGTGGAAAAGTGAGCAGAGTCCAAGGACTGTGATGGGACAGTGGAGGCTGGGGAGTGGCTTCAAGGGGACAAGCCAAAGTCATTCCTTCCTCAACGCTGGAAGGAGCAGAGAGAAACAAGGCATGCCTCTGAAAAACAGAAGAATTGCCTAAGGGTTGGTGTGCCCTTTTCCATCCACTGCTCTAGCACCAAGGGCCAGGAGGACTTTTGCTGTGGCTTACAAGTGATGGTTTCCCCGTGTGTGTGGTGTTTCTGAAAATCTCTGCGTTTCTACAGGCAGAGAACACTGGCATGTCTTGCTACTGTCCAAGTCCATCAATAGGTTTTCTTGCATGTTTACTAATATTCGCCAGAAGCCTCATGAGTCCAATTTTCCACCCTACAGACTAGAAATAGGAATAGGGGCTGTGCTTGAAACTCTACTTTGGGAAAGCGTTCTTATTTTATAGAAATGCTAACACAATGGAATGACTTTACTTAAATACAAACAAAACAAACTAACTAAAAAGACCTATCCTCAATTCCATTCCTTCCTCCTTCACCTTCCTTTTAAATTAACATTTATTGTTGTTACCTTTTTTGTGTCATTTATCAAAGCGCTACAGGCTCAGTGGAGAAAATTGGGAAAATACAGTAAAGCACGGGTAACATTTTGGTTCCTTCGTTTAGAGAGGGCGATGAATATTTTTCTTTCGCAGCCAGAGTTTAACTCTTGTCGCCCAGGCTGGAGTGCAATGGCAGGATCTCCGCTCACCGCAACCTCCGCGTCCCAGGTTCAAGCGATTCTCCTGCCTCAGCCCAAGTAGCTGAAATTACAGACATGTGCCACCATGTCGTGCTAATTTTGTATTTTTAGTACAGAAGGGCTTTCTCCACGTTGGTCAGGCTGGTCTCGAACTCCTGATCTCAGGTGAATCCGCCCTCCTTAGCCTCCCAAAGTGCTGGGATTATCTTGGCCTCCCAAAATGCTGGAATTACAGGTGTGAGCCACCACGCCCGGCGAACATTTTTCTTTAAACATGATGGGGTGTTGTGAACTGGGGTATGCTTTTTTCCTCTTCTGCCACTTTCTACTTTTTAAAAGAAGGATGGCCGTGCAACCTTCCTGTACTGGCGGTCACAGCCGGTGCCATCCTTGGTTGCAGACACAGCTCTGGCTGAACGCCGCCCTGCGCATCTCCAGGCTGCCGGGCCTTCCCGGGCGCTGCCCCTTTAAGGAGGCAGACGTCGGGGGTGGGGGGGCGGCCCCCGCGCTGATTGGTGGAGCTCGGAGCCACGTGGCCGTCTCGGGGCTGCTGTTGCTGCCGCAGGCCTCCGGCGGGGGCCAGGAGGTTCGGGAAGGCACGGCGGGTCCCCGGGAAGGGGACGAGTTGACAGATGTGCGTGAGGAGGTCCCTGGTCGGCCTCACCTTTTGTACCTGCTACCTGGCTTCTTACCTCACGAACAAGGTGAGGGGGCGGGCGCGGGAGGCAGCGCTTGCACGTGGGAGGCTTCAGCCGCATAATCCGCCTGTGACAAACCGAGCCTCCGACTTTCTACCGCCTTCGTCCTGGTGGCGATCGAGAGCGAACCGCCTCCGTGAGGGATGATGCTCTTTTAGAAATGGGATTTGCCGGCCTGTACTGTCCCCATTTCTTGCACTGTAAAGCGCGGCACATTTCCTGGGAAACAGGATTTTACGGCTGCCCATTTTCTGGGAACTTGGTTTGGGGCTGTGTGGACTAGTTTTAAGAGAAAGCAAGCAGTTGGCTCCTGCTCCCCCCGGGGAGGAAGAGTCAGAGGAATCTGACACAGCTTGCCTTTTTTCTAAGCAGGCCCGTGTCCCAGAGTTCCGTAGTGTTCCAGAAGCCTTCAAATAGAAGAGATTAAGCCATCTCTCCCTCACACTGCTGAATCCCGAATCAGTTTTGTTTGTATGTCTCCAATGTAAGCACTTAAGGGGTTTCGCATGGAATTATTATTATGAGAGGAAATCTCGCTCTGTCACCAGGCTAGAGTGCAGTGGCACGATCTCGGCTCCCTGCAACCTCCGCCTCCCGGGTTTAAGCAATTCTCCTGCCTCAGCCTCCCAAGTAGCTGGGACTACAGGCGCGTGCCACCACGCCTGGCTAATTTTTTTATTTTTTAGTAGAGACGGGGTTTTACCATGTTGGCCAGGATGGTCTCGGTCTCTTGACCTCGTGATCCGCCCGCCTCGGCCTCCCAAAGTGCTGGGATTACAGGTGTAAGCCACCGCGCCCGGTCGGAATTGTTATTTTTTAAAATAAAATGTACATTTAATTTTAGGTTTAAACTAATGTCATGAAATCATGAAGCCCTTTTGGCGAGGAGGCAGAGAAGCAGTAATACCAGGGTTGGGGTTTTATTTTGCAAAGAGAGGGAAGCTGACTTTGGGTTTGGTACCATGCAGGGAAATGGTGGAACCAGCAGGATCCATTGGGCATAGCTGGGGCATCACCTGCTGGCCTGGACTTTGGGCTGGCTCCGGCCAAAGTAGGAATACAGAGTGCAGGACACTTGGCCCCACTGTGGGGTCTCTACTGTGGGCTCCCCCCTGCTCTCCGCCTTTCCTCTCCCCTCTCTTGCTCTGTGGAAAAGAACCATCAACAAACAGCATTTCTTTCTGCCTCCTCTCCTACAGTGAGTGCCTCTCTTTATATATCCAGAGGATGCTCCCCAACCCCTTTTCCCTCTCCAGTTTATTTTTATTTTTGAGATGGAGTCTCACTCTATCACCCAGGCTGGAGTGCAGTGACATGATCTCGGCTCACTGCAACCTCCACCTTCCTGGTTCAAGTGAGTCTCCTGCCTCAGCCTCCCGAATAGCTGGGGCTACAGGTGTATGCTACCATGCTGGGCTCATTTTTGTATTTTTAGTAGAGACGGAGTTTCACCGTATTGGCCAGGCTGGTCTCGAACTCCTGACCGCAGGTGATCCGCCCACCTCAGCCTCCCAAAGTGCTGAGGGATTGCAGACGTGAGCCACTGCCCCTGGCCTCCAGTTGATTTTTAGTTATGGCAATAAGCTCTGAAGGTCCATAAATGCAGCCTTCCTGGGAGACAGTGATGGGTTTTACTTACTGGCTCTACTTACTTGGCCTTTGGAATCTTACTCTTTCTTTTTTTATTTGAGATGGAGTTTTGCTCTTATTGCCCAGGCTGGAATACAATGGTGTGATCTCGGTTCATTGCAACCTCCATCTCCTGGGTTCGAGTGATTCTCCTGCCTCAGCCTTCCAAGTAGCTGGGATTACAGGCATGCACCACCATACCCTGCTAATTTTGTATTTTTACTAGAGATGGGGTTTCTTCATGTTGGTCAGGCTGGTCTCAAACTCCTGACTCAGGTGATCCACCCACCTCATCCTCCCAAAGTGCTGGGATTACAGGTGTGAGCCATCACACCAGCCTGGATGTGCATGTTCATTTGTGGCACTTTTACAAAATTTATTGGAGCCCCAGGGTATTTTATAAATTTTTGTTTGTTTTTTGAGACAGGGTCGTCTTCTTTCACCCAGGCTGGAGTGCAGTGGTGTAATCATGGCTCACTGTAACCTCTGCCTCCCAGGCTCAAGCGGTCCTCACACCTCAGCCTCCTGAATAGCTGGGACTACAGGTGTGCACCACCATGCTTCGCTAATTTCTATATATATATATATATATATATATATATATATTTTTTTTTTTTTTTTTTTTGATAGAGATGAAGTTTCGCCATGTTGCCCAAGCTGGTTTCTAACTCCTGGGCTCAAGCGATCTGTCTACCTTGCCTTGCCTCCCAAATGCTGGGATTATAAGTGTGAGCCCCTGTGCCCAGCCAACAAATTTAATCAAAACAATACTTTCCATATGCATAATGCATTTAGATGTTAGATGAAATTAAACCAAATTGTTTCTTCCCAGGAATGGATAATCTGAATAATCAAACTCATAGCCGACCAAGGGCCCTGAGAATGTAAATACAATGGTTTGGAATGCTTTGGCTTGGGGATGTGGGAAGTGTCAGAGCTAGTAGAAAGAGTAGGTCAAAAACAGCAGAAGGCAGGAAAAAAAGGGAGAAGGAGGAGATTGTCTGCAGAGGGAGGAGGAGGTGAGCTCGGGAGTGGAGTAGAGAGACAGGAGAACCAGGTAGGGGTGCCAGTAGTGGCTGTACATTATAGGACTCTGGTGAGGAACTTTACAGCTCTTAAAAGCTTGAACCTTTTGTGGCCATTATTTCATCTTCTCAACCAGGTTGATAGTGCTCCCTTCTGGCAGCCAAGGCTGGGTGGGTCAGCTTGGACCAAGTAGAGGCGAACTGCGAAGAAATCTGCAGTGGACACCCCATGAGCATATTCTATTATGAGCATATTCTCTAATGTGGCAAAGAACATGTAATTTCTCTGCCACATTAATTTTCTTTGAATTAGTGAAGTTGTTTTTTTTTTTTTTGTCGTCTAAAGTAGAGGGTGTTCTCTTCTAGCTTTTGAAGCCTCTGTTTTAGTTTATTTCCATATTTCTTCGTGTAATTTTCTCCTTCAGCTGTTCCCCTATTTATTTGAAGAAAGGAAATTCTTTTTTTTTTTTTTTGAGAGGGAGTCTTGCCCTGTCACCCAGGCTAGAGTGAAATGATGCGATCTTGGCTCACTGCAACCTCCACCTCCCAGACTCAAGTGATTCTCCTGCCTCAGCCTCCCGAGTAGCTGAGATTACAGGCGTTAGCCACCATGCCCGGCTCACTTTTGTATTTTTAGTAGAGATGGGTTTTCACCATGTTTGTATTTTTAGTAGAGACGGGGTTTCACCATGTTAGCCTGGATGGTCTCAATCTCCTGACCTCATGATCCACCCACCTCAGACTGCCAAAGTGCTGGGATTATAGGTGTGAGCCACCACACCCTGCCAAGAAAATTCTTTTTAAAAAAAAATCTCATATAGCTCATTCTGACCCCCTTCTACTATTTGAAAGAATGGTATTTGTTAGAAGTTTGAGGCAGCAAGTGTGCTGTCAAAGGAAGCTGCCCTAGGTAGGGAGGGAGGAGGAAGCACCACACCCTTGGGCTCTGGCTTGGTGGCCTGGGCTGGCCCGGGCTGATGACATGTTCCTCTGTCCTTTGGGAGGTTCCAGCTATAATCAGGCCCTAGGCAGCCAGCTGTCCTTCCCCTTATAGAAATTGAGCCTTCAGCTCAGAGGCAAAGTTCATTTCGATTCTGGGCAACTGGTTGGTATCTATAAAATACAAAGAACTTATTAAATTAATAAGAAAAATACTAAAACCTCAGTGAAAATAAATGGGTAAAAGGCATAAGTAGACAATGCACTGAAAAAAGAGATATGAGGCTGGGCACGGTGGCTCATGTCTGTAATCCCAGCACTTTGAGAGGCCAAGATGGGTGGATCACCTGAGGTCAGGAGTTCGAGACCAGCCTGGCCATCATGGCAAAACCCTGTCTCTCCTAAAAAATACGAAAATTAGCTGGGTGTATGTAGTAGCACGTGCTTGTAATCCCAGCTACTGGGAAGGCTGAGGCAGGAACATCGCTTGATAAAAAGAGAGATACGGGTGTTTTTGTTAACTTTCACATGGCCTCACTCACTTTTTTGGGGGGTTTATGATCTTTTTTTCATGAGCACTTTTTTTTTTTTTTTTTTTGAGACGGAGTCCCGCTCTTGTTGCCCAGGCTGGAGTGCAGTGTCGTTCTTGGCTCACTGCAACCTCTGCCTCCCGGGTTCAAACGATTCTTCTGCCTCAGCCTCCTGAGTAACTGGGACTACAGGTGCACGCCACCATGCCCAGCTGGTCTCAAACCCTTGACTTTGTGATCTGCCCACCTCAGCCTCCCAAAGTGCTGGGATTACAGGCATGAGCCACCATGCCTGCTGGCCCAATCACTTTAGTATGACTTGGGAGGTCATTTGTTTGCCCAGTTTGTGATTTTGGTGGGAATAATGGCCTTTTTAAAACTTACATGTTCTTATGTTTCTTTAATAGAAATTTCTTTGATTATGTGGTTTGTCAATTTTCTATCATTTGAAATGTCCAATAATCTGCTGTTTGTTTTTCAGTATGTCCTGTCTGTCTTGAAATTTACCTACCCTACATTATTCCAAGGGTGAGTATCTTTTTTGCCCTTTATATATACATTTTTAGGAAATGTCCAATCAACATCGTTCTTTGAAATAGTTTTAATAACTGCATAGAGTTTTTTGTTGTCAAATAGATATCTTGTAAGATATTTAGCCACCTTATTAACAGACATTTAAGTTTTGTTTGATTTTGGGGGTATGAAAACAATGTTACCAGACATTTTTGTGTTAAATTCTGCCAAATTTCCAATGATTTCTTTGAGATTGATTCCTACATAAGAAATTTGGGGCCGGGAGCAGTGGCTCACGCCTGTAATCCCAACACTTTGGGAGGCCGAGGCGGGTGGATCATGAGGTCAAGAGATCGAGACCATCCTGGTCAACATGGTGAAACCCCGTCTCTACTAAAACTACAAAAAATTAGCTGGGCATGGTGGCGCGTGCCTGTAGTCCCAGCTACTCGGGAGGCTGGGGCAGGAGAATTGCCTGAACCCGGGAGGTGGAGGTTGCGGTGAGCCGAGATCGTGCCATTGCACTCCAGCCTGGGTAACAAGAGTGAAACTCCGTCCCCAAAAAAAAAAAAAAGAAATTTGGGTTAGGCTAGACATGGTGTCTCATTACTATAATCTCAACACTTTGAGAGGCTGAGGCAAGAGGATTGTATGAGGCCAGGAGTTTGAGACCAGTCTGGGCAACATAGCAAGGCCCTGTCTCTACAAAAAAAAGAAAAAACAAAACTGGCTAACCATATGCAGAAAATGGAACTGGACCCCTGTGTCTTGCTATATATAAAAATTAACTCAGGATGGATTAAATACTTAGATGGATTAAGATCTCAAACTCTAAAAATCCTAGAAGAAAACCTAGGAAATACTTTTCTGGACATTGACCTAGACAAAGAATTTATGATGAAAGCAAATGCAACAAATACAAAAATTGACAATCAGGACCTTATTAAACTAAAGACTTTCTGAACAGCAAAAGAAACTATTAACAGAGTAAACAATGTTGCAAACTATGTATCCAACAAAGGACTAATATCCACAATCCATAAGGAATCTAAATAAATCAACAAGAAAATAAAACAAATAATTCCTTTAAAAGTGGGCCAAGTCCACGAATAGACACTTCTCAAAACAAGACATGCAAGTGGCCAACATGAAACATTGCCTAACATCACTAATCGTCAGAGAAATGCAAATCAAACCATCATGAGATACCATCTCTTACCAGTCAGAATTATTAGTAAAAAGTCAAAAACTGGCTGGGAGTGGTGGCTCATGCCTGTAACCTCGGCACTTTGAGAGGCCAAGGTGGGTGGATCACCTGAGGTCAGGAGTTCAAGATGAGACTGACCCGCATGGTGAAACTCCGTCTCTATTAAAAATACAAAAAAAACTATCCAGGCATAGTGCCACATGCCTGTAATCCCAGCTACCGGGGAGGCTGAGGCAGGAGAATTGCTTGAACTTGGGAGGCAGAGATTGGAGTGAGCCAAGATTGCACCATTGCACTCCAGCCTGGATGACAAGAGTGAAAATCTGTCTTTAAAAGAAAAGCAAAAATAATATGTTGGCAAAGTTTTGGAGAAAAGGGAATGCTTATACACTGTTGGCAGGATTGTAAATTAGTTTAGCCCCTGTGGAAAGCAGTTTAGAGAATTCTAAAAGAACAAAAAATAGAATTACCATTTGACCCAGCAATCTCATTACTGGGTGTATACCCAAGGAAAATAAATTGTTCTACCAAAAATATACCTACGCTCATGTGTATTTTATCACAGCACTATTCATAATAGCAAAGACATGGAATCAACCTAGGTGCCCGTCAACTGTGGATTGGATAAAGAAAATTTGGTACATATATATACCGAGAAATACTACACAGCCTTAAAAAAGAGCACAATTATGTCCTTAGCAGCAACGTGGATGCAGCTGAAGGTCATCATCCTAAGTGAATTAACAGAAACAGAAAACCAAATACTGCATGTTCTTACGTGTGAATGGCAGCTGAACGTTGGGTACACACAGACAGAAAGATGGAACAGTAGACGCTGGGATTCCCCAAGGGGAGAGTTAGGGAGGGAGATAAGTAAGGATTGAAAAACTACCTATTAGGTACTATGTTCACTGTTTGGGTCACGGGATCAACAGAAGCCCAAACCAGCATCATGCAATGTACCATGTAGCAGATCTCCACATGCACCCCTTGAATCTTAAAAACAAATTAGCTGGGCATGGTGACATGTACCTGTAGTCTCAGCTACTCTGGAGGTTCAGGCAGGATTGTTGGACCCCAAGAGTTAGAGGCTGCAGTGAGCTGTGATCGTGTTGCCGTACTCCAGCTTGGGTGACAGAGTGAGACCCTGTCTCTAAAAATAATAAAAATTAATAAATTTGGGTTAAAGTACATGAACATCTTTAGTATTCATCTTGAATATTAACAGATTCTTTTCAAAAAATGTTTTCCCGGTTGACATTGCCACCCAGCCTCCATATGAACATTTCTATAGTATTGTACTCAAACTGTGATTCTCTTTGCTGATTTCATGAGCGAAAGGTATATTGTTTTGTTGTATAATTTTGTAGGTTATTCAAGTTGGACAATTTCCTTATGTATTTTATCCACTTGTATCTCATTTTCAGTGAATTGTCTAGTTGTACCTTTTATCCTTTTATTTTCATTGAGGTTTTAGTGTTTTTCTTACTAATTTAGTAAATTCTTTATATTTTAAGGAGGTCAACCAGTTGTCCATCATGTTTTTGGAAATAATTTTTGCAATTTGTTCTTTGTCTTTTAATTTGTTTATAATTATTTTGATTATTTAAATATTTTTATGTGGTCAAATATATTGATTGTTTCATTCACAATTGCTTCCATTTTTTAATGTTTTTTTCTTCTCCATCATAAAACCATTTAGATATTCACCTATATTTCATTAAAGCTTTATTCAAGTTTTAATCATTGTCAGTGTAATTTAGTGCATGGTGCAATGTGAGGAAATTGTCCCTTTCCCAGTAGTTAACTGATTTATACTAACCTCATTTATTGTATAATCCTTCCATTTGCCTTATGCCCAAGGGCATAATAATCTGTATATGATTGTTAATCTTATATACAGATGGTCCCAACTTAATGACAGTTGGACATAGAATTGTTTGACTGTATGATGGTGTGAAAGCAATATGCTTTCAGGAGAAACCATACTTCAGCTTTTGAGTTTTGCTGTTTCCCGGGCTAGCAATATGCCATATAATACTCTTCCCTGATGCTGAGCAGTAGTAGTGAGTAGTGAGCTGCAGCTCCTAGCCACGTGAATGTAAATGTTCTGAACACGTTTATGATAGGCAAAGCCAAGCTCTGGTGTTTGGTAGGTTATGTGTATTCAATGCTCTTTCAATTATGACATTTTCTTTTTTTTTCTTTTGAGATAGAGTCTCGCACTGTCGCCTGGGCTGGAGTGCAATAGCACGATCTCGGCTCACTGCAACCTCTGCCTCCTAGGTTCAAGCCATTCTCCTGATTCAGCCTCCTGAGTAGCTGGGTCACAGGCATGCGCTACCATACCTGGCTGATTTTGTATTTTTTGTAGAGGCGGGGTTTCACTATGTTGGCCAGGCTGGTCTCGAACTCCTGATCTTAAGTGATTTGCCCACCTCGGCCTCCCAAGGTGCTGGGGTTACAGGTGTGAGCCACCGTGCCCAGCCAATTATGATATTTTCAATGTATGATCAATTTGTTGGGACATAACTCCATTGTAAGTTGAGGAGCATCTGTATAAAGTCATTTTTTGGCTGGGCGAGGTGGCTCATGCCTGTAATCTCAGTAATTTGGGAGGCCAAGGCAGGAGGATCTCTTGAGGCCGGGAGTTCGAGACCAGCTTGGCCAACATGGCGAAACCCTGTCTCTATTAAAAATACAAAAATCAGCCAGGTGTGATGGTGAGTACCTGTAGTCCTGCTATTCAGGAGGCTGAGGCACAAGAATTGCTTGAACCTGGGAAGCAGAGTTTGCAATGAGCTGAGATCACACCAACACACTCCAGTCTGGGCAACAGTGCGAGACTCTGCCCCAAAAATAAAAGATAAAAAATAATAAAGTTGTTTTTCTAGGGTCTTTTTTTGGGTACTTATTTGTCAATTTTGATGATAAGGGACTAGTGCTGAATTGTTTTAATTATTAAACCATTTAAATATGTAGTAGAGCAAGTCAGCCCTCATTCTTCTCCTTTTTTTTTTTTTTTTTTTTGGCAGAGTTTTGTTTTTTCCACCCAGGCTGGAGTGAAGTGATGCGATCTTGGGTCACTGCAACCTCCGCCCGCTGGGTTCAAGCGATTCTCCTGCCTCAGCCTCCTGAGTAGCTGGGATAATAGGTGCCCACCACCACACCCAGCTAATTTTGTATTTTTAGTAGAGACGGGATTTCACCATGTTGGCCAGGCTGGTCTCGAGCTCCTGACCTCAGGTGATTCACCTGCCTTGGCCTCCCAAAGTGCAAGGATTACAGGCATGAACCACAACGCCCGGCTTCATTCTTAACCTTTAAAAAAAAATGTTCGGCCGGGCACGGTGGCTCAAGCCTGTAATCCCAGCACTGTGGGAGGCTGAGGCGGGTGGATCACGAGGTCAAGAGATCGAGACCATCCTGGTCAACATGGTGAAACCCCGTCTCTACTAAAAATACAAAAAATTAGCTGGGCATGGTGGCGTGTGCCTGTAATCCCAGCAACTCAGGAGGCTGGGGCAGGAGAATTGCCTGAACCCGGGAGGCGGAGGTTGCGATGAGCCGAGATCGCGCCATTGCACTCCAGCCTGGGTAACAAGAGCGAAACTCCGTCTCAAAAAAAAAAAAAAAAAAAAATGTTCATTGGCCGGGCGTGGTGGCTCACACCTGCAATCCAAACACTTTGGAGGCCGAGATGGGCGGATCACCTGAGGTTGGGAGTTCAAGACCAGCCTGACCAACATGGTGAAACCCTGTCTTTAAAAAAAAAAAAATGTTCATTATATTATCACCAGTATGTTATTTCAGGTGAACTTTAAAATACTTTGTCAAGCTCCTCCCTAATACTTCATAGCAAACATGTTTGTTTTTGTAGAAGCAGGCTCCTTCTCTGTTACCCAGGCTGGAATACAGTGGCATGATCATAGCTCTCTGCAGCTTTGAACTCCTGGTCTCAAGTGATCCTCCCAGGATTACAGGCATGAGCTGCTGTGCCCGGCCTCGTAGCCAAGTTTTAAAGTATCTTCTGTGATTATGTGTATTTTAGTCAATAAAGCTGGGATACTGGTTTCTCTCTTACAGAGTAGCAAGCGTTTTCTGGTCCGGGCTATCTTTCCACATCTCTCAAGGTAGAGGGACTTAGGGAATGTGCATAAGAAAGGCGTGATTACTATGCTTGGATTACTATGCTTGGATTGAGTCAGACTGAGTGCACCTCCCCCATAGAGTATAAGATCTACAAAGGCTGGAATTTTGACTTATCCATTTTGTCACTGGAGTATTTCCAGTTCCTAGAACAATGCCTGGTGCCTGGTACGAAAGAGTAATATATTCTGCAGATGCTTGGGGCACATCAGTGAAGAAAACAGATCCCTGCCCTCATGGACCTTGCTTTTTAAATTCTGGCTGTTCCTCAAATTCACCTGCAGTGAATGGTTATCCTGCATCCGACTGCGCAACTCAGAACCTGGGAGCCATTCTTGTTTCCTTAGTTTCCTTCATCCTCAACATCCAGTTAACACCAGGGCCTCCTAGACATCTTCAGAATCTGTCCACTTTCTTCATCCATGTTGCCCCTTTCCAGGTACCGTCATCTCTCCAATTACTATAAAAACTCCTAACTTACTTCTTTGCCCCTAGTCTTGCTTCTCTCAGAAACATTTCCTCCCTTGTAAAGAGAGAGAGCTTCCCCAAAGGTAATGACAGTGTCACTCCCATGCCCGGAACCCTTCAGTGAGTCCTCAGTTTGAAGTCCCAGCTCCTTATGATTGGCGTGGTCCTTTGGGACCAGCCCTTTCTTTCCAGGGTCAGCTCTTGCCGCCCCCTCTCCCATGCTCCAGTGCTGGGGTTCAGACCAACTGAACTTCTCCGAGAAGCTTTGAATGAAGCCATTGTCCCTCTTACCTCTGGTCCTTTTGCCTTGAACATGCTTTGGGTTTTTGTTCAAATTTATTTTTTCTAGGAAGTCTTACCCGCTCACTAGACTAGGTTAGTTGCTCTCAAGAGAGTGGCTTATGGTACCTGGTACACTTCCTTTCAGGGCTTCACACACTTGTTTGTAATTACTGATTAATTACCGTACTTTCATTTCACTAGACTGGGGTTTCTCCACCTTGGAATGACATTCCAGTGCTGACATTTGGAGTTGGAGAATTCTTTGCAGTGGGGACTGCCCTTCACACTGTAGGATGTTTAGCAGCATCCCTGGCTTCTCCCGTCTAGATTCCAGTGGCATACCTTCTGCTCCTTTCCCCAGCTGCGACAACCAAACATTTTTCTAGACACTGCCAAATACCCCCTGGAGGGGAAGATCGCCTGGTTGAGAATCACTGTGTTAGACCAAACTGTTTGAAGGCAGGACGCATATTTGGTGTGTTTTGCTTGGCTGGGTCAGTGAAACTTCACGCAGGATATGTGCAAACTGGGTGTTATAGGCTGAGCAGGTGTCCACCACAAAGAGATAGGAAGAACATTATGGGGCAAGAGGATGGCACACCCAAACTCCTAGAATCCGACATGACCTGGCATGTTCCCAAGGCTGTGGGCCATCCTGTGTGGCTAGCATGTGACTGCCCACAGCAAGCAGACAGCAGCTGACCCTGTAGAGGGGCAGGTGCAAGTCCCAGAGACTTGTGTGTCACACTCAAGTGACTTTGTCCTTTAGGCCAGAGTTCTCAACTGTAGTGTCGCAACACATGGGTATGTTGTGGTCATAGTCGCTTCCGAGGTGAGGTGTCTCAAGTCATTTATAATGAAAAACAGGGTTTTGAAATTTATGAATGACTCACCTAAACTCAAAAAGCAATTAGAGCAAGCCACTATGCCTCTCACTCATTTGGCATTCTGATGTGTTTTCTGCACTGGGAGAGGTGTTTGTGACCTGTGCTGCCCCTGCACTATGCGTGCTGGGGGCAGTGTGTCTCGGGTGAGCTTCATGACCCCGAGTGTGTTGGCAGAAAAGAGGCTGAGGGTTGCTGCCTGTGGTACCAGGAAGACTCATCTGTTTTTAAAACAAGCAAGTAGCACAATTAAATTCCCATTTTAGGATAGACCCTTTGACTGCAAAGTAAAGAATGGATGAAGGGCCACGTTGGAGAGAGGGGGACCAGTTAAGGGACTAATGCTGTGAGCCAGGCATGAGATGATGAGAGCCTGAATTGAGACAGAGGCAGGAGGGTTGGTGGGGAAGGCTTCAGATTTGAGTGCTGTTATAGGCATAAATAAAATCAATAGGATATTGTGCTTAGACAAGGGAGGTGAAGGCTGAAGAGGTGAGCTGAGATGCCACCTAGGTTTCTGGTTTGGCTGATTAGGGATAGGGAGGATGATTTGAGAGAGAGGTTCTGGGTGATGATTTAGGCATGTTATCATCGGGAGCTTCGCAGGGAGGAGAGGAATGGGCTGAGGGTTGAAAGGTACCTGTTGGGTACAATGTACACTATTCAGTTGGTGGCCACTGGAACCCCAAACCTCACCATTACTCACTATATCCATGTAACAAACATGCACGTATACCTCCAAATCTATGGATAATAGCCATAATCGTCATCATTGAGAGCTTGTGGGAGATCACTGTGGTGGTATCAAAGTGAGAACGGGGATTTGGGACTCAACAATGAAGAGGCAGTGGGAGAAGCAGTGGCTATGACTGAGGCTGTTCAGGAAAAGTCTAGAATAAGAGGAGAAGAATGTCAATGTCAGTACTTCCTGGGCAGCTGGACTGTAGGGAATAGAGATTGAGAAGGAGAGTTCTGAGAAATGGGATAATTGGGAGAAAATGGGAGAAAAGAGTAGTAAACAGAGCTGAACGTGTCTCTTTGTGTCAGTCGGCAGATCTGCCCGGGCTGGGTGGTGTTGGAGACCAACCGTGGCACTCTATGAAATTCACATAGCCTCTTGTACTTTCCAGGTGGCAGACCCTCATTGGTGGACTTTTGCTTCATGTGTCCTGGAAACTGGGCTGGGTAGAGATCAACAGCAGTTCAAGGTATAACCTCTCTGTGCTGGACTCATGCATGATTCACACTCTGCTTGCTTTCGATATTATATAATTCCATATGGTGTTACACTAGAAACACAGAAGTTTATTTATTTACTTATTTATTTATTTAAGAGACAGAGTCTTGCCCTGTCTCCCAGGCTGGAGTGCAGTGGCACAATCTCAGCTCACTGTAACCTCCACCTCCTGGATTCAAGCAATTCTTGTGCCTCAGCCTCACAAGTAGCTGGAATTACAGCTGCTTGCCACCATGGTGGGCTAAGTTTTATATTTTTAGTAGAGATGGGGTTTTACGATGTTAGCTAGGCTGGTCTTGATATCCTGACCTTGAATGATCCACCTGCCTCGACCTCCCAAAGTGCTAGAATTACAGGCGTGAACCACCATGCCCAGCCAACACAGAGGCTTATTTGAGGTGTTTGATATCTTAATTCCTTCTAACTTTGAGAGTCAGTGATTTTATTATCAGATAAAAATTGAATAGTATTTTCCTAAGTAATAATGCCACTAGTATAGTATGAAGATTAAATGATACATTGATGTAGTGTGGGGAAAAAAGTTAATTGAGATATATATTTTATAATGTCAAATTAATGTTGCTTTGTTTTGATCATAGGATATGATGAATGCAATTACATTAGCTTAAATAATTTTTTTAGTAAATTTCTTATTTTAAAATTATTTCTGGCTGGGCATGGTGATTCATGCCCGTAATCCCAGCACTTTGGAAAACCAAGGTGGGAGGATCACTGGAGCCCAAGGGTTTGAGACCAGCCTGAACAACTTAGGGAGACCCCACCTCTACAAAAATAATAAGAAAAATATTAGCCAGGTGTGGTTGTACGTGCCTGTGTTCCTCGCTGCTTGGGAGACTGAGGTGGGAGGATCACCTGAGCCTGGGAGGTCAAGGCTGCAGTTTGCTGTGATTGCACCACAGCACTCCAGCCTGAGCCACAGCAGGAGACTGTGCCTCAAAAAGATTCCTACCTATAGATAAGTTAGAATAATACAATGAACTCCCCTACCCATTACTCAGATCCCCTTATTATTTTACCATGCTTTTCTTATCATTTTCTCTTGATGTACTGTGCATGTATATACATGTATGTGCATACATCTGTATACATAAATATATAAACTTTTTTCCCTGAACTTTTTGAAAATAAGCTGTAGATTTGACAGGAAATATCTCTTTTCTTTACTTTGGAATTCTTTAGGGTGATTTCCTAAGAGCAAGGGCATTCTCTTTCATGACTGCAATAAAATTATCAAAATCAGGGAGATATTAACATTGATACAATACTATTTATTATCTCATTTAAAGACCATATGTTGCCAGTTATCTCAGTAGTATCCTTTATACCCCTCCACTCCAAAATTCTAGTTCCGAATCCAGTCCAGATCACACATTACATTAGTTGTTATGATTCTGTTAAAACAGCCTTTGAAATACATTTAAGAGAAATTTTGGCCAGGCACAGTGGCTCGCATCTGTTATCCCAACGCTTTGGGAGGCTGAAGCAGATGGATCACTTGAGGCCAGGAGTTGGAGACCAGCCTGACCGACATGGTGAAACCCTAATTCTACTAAAAATACCAAAGTAGCTGGGCATGGTGGCACATGCCTGTAATCCCAGCTACTTGGGAGGCTGAGGCAAGAGAACTGCTTGAACTCAGGAGGCGGAGGTTGCAGTGAGCTGACATCACGCCATTGCACTCCAGTCTGGCTGATAAGAATGAAATATTCTCAAAAAAAAAAAAAAAAAAAAAAAAATCAAAGACCATGACACTATTTAGCCAAAACTATAGTCTGAATTGGTTATCTACTCCTACCTCACCTAGATATTCTCCTGATTCTTTGAGAACATCCTTTTTAACCTGAAATAATGTACAAAGTGAAAAGAAAACTAAGTTAAGGTTTATATGAATAAAGGAAACAGCCCAGCTGAATGATCAGCCCAAGTCATTTACCTTGTAAATTACTCTGCCCAGTTTCTCCATGAATCAGATTAACTGCTTAATTGTTAAGTCACCTTTTTGTTTGGCACTCTGGAGAAGATATGAGAACATGTTTAGTGTAAATATTAATAATTTTGGCTTCTCGACCAGGTGAGATGGCTCACACCTGTAATCCCAGCACTTTGGGAGACCGAGGCAGGAAGATCACTTGAGGTGACCAGCCTGGCCAACGTGGTGAAACCCTATCTCTACTAAAAATACAAAAAAGAGCTCAGCGTGGTGGCGACATCTGTAGTTCCAGCTACTTAGGAGGCTGAGGCAGGAAAATAGCTTGAGCCAGGGAGGCAGAGGTTGGAGTGAGCCGAGATTGTGCCACTGCACTCCAGCTGGGGTGACAGAGTGAGATCCTGTCTCAAAGAAAAAAAAAAGAAAAAGTTTAGACTTCTCCTGAAAATTTAAAATTGGAGAGCAAAAAACTAGTATTAAGAAGTTTTATAAAGGAGAGATCCTGGGAACATAGGTGTACATCAATGTACCTGACCATGTCATTTCATAATCCATATTCATAAAGAATATTCTATACAATATGCTTAACTAATCCAAAGGGGAAGTTCATTAAGTCACAAATTTGCATTTTCATTTTGCATTTTCATCCTTACTCGGATGAAATAAAGATACTTTTGGGATTTTATATATTATATTAAGCACAAGTCTTACTAAATACTCTGTTGTTATGGTGGTTAGTTCAGTAAGAACTGGGTTTCATTTAAACAAATAAGGATACAGAATTCACAAGGCCCGAGATAGCTGCAGTAGTTAAATGACGAAGGACCCTGGCTCCAAATGGGTAAGCGTATTCCATTATTCCTTCTGAGAAGCAGGAGCTTGGGCCAAAATGAGGGACGTGGCTGTCACATTGCGGCCTAAAGGCCAGTGATACAGATCTGCATGGGTCTTCCTTGCTGATTCTAATCGTTACATAATTTCTGATGTAAATTATTTACTTATTAATAGTTTTCTTTAAAAAATTACCTTACTCCTATTTTTTAAAAAGCAATGCCATTTTTCACATTAAAATTTTGTTTATTATGTTATTAATAAAATATATAACATAAGATTTACCATTTTAACCATTTTAAGCATACAATTCATTGGCATTGATAATATTCACAGTGTTGTACAATCATCGTAACTATTTGTGTCCAGAACTTTTCATCATTCCAAACAGAAACTCTGTACCCATTAAACAATATCTTCCCATTCTTCCCTCCCACTTGCTCCTAGTAACTCCTGTTCTACTTTCTTTGTCTATGAATTTGCCTATTCTGGGTACCTTGTATAAATGGAATTGTACAATATTTGTTCTTTGGTGTCTAACTTAGTTTACTTAGCATTAATGTTTTCAAGTTTCCTGCGTGTTGTAGCATGAATCAGAATTTTATTCCTTATGAATGCTGAGCAGTATCCATATGTATGTATCACATTTTGTTTATCCATTTATCTGTTGATAGAATTCTCCATATTTTTTTTTTTTTTTGAGGCAAGATCTTGCTCTGTTGCCCAGGCTGGAGTGCAGTGGCTCAATCTTAGCTCACTGCAGCCTTGAACTTCTAGGCTCAAGCTATCCTCCTGCCTTAGCTTCCCAAGTGACTGGGACTACAGGTGTGCACTACCATGCCCAGCTAATTGTTTAATTTTCTGAAGAGATGGGGGTTTTGCAATTTTGCCCAGGCTGGTCTCTTAACTCCTGACCTCAAGCAATCCTCCTCTCTCAGCCTCCCAAAGTGCTTGGATTATGGGCTTGAGCCACTGTACCCAGCCTTCTAACTGATGTATTGAAGGGCAGGTAATGATTATTAGAACTGGCCAAAGATTCTCAAGATTGCTTCCCTGGAAGAAGTGGTCCTTTGACTGTAGAAGTTTGAGACCCACTAGACACTTGTCCCTTGGACTTGGCAGTGTCTTGCTAGGTTCTACCTATCTCGGAATATCCGTGATCACATCTTCTTTTCAGCTCCTAGCTAAACTTCATAGAAGTCTTTTCACCTCTGTCTCCTGTAGGTGTATTCACAGTCACCTCTATTCTAAAGAATAGAGTTCTTTAACTCTATTAAACTTTTTGTCAAAGATACCCATATCTGGGTTTCTGGTGGATCTCGTGGTTAATAGCTGCTGGTCACAGCTCAGGATTTCCAGCCGCCATGGCCCTTGGCAAAGGAGCGTTACCAGATGTTCAGCATAAGGATCCAGCACCCACGTTCCTTTGTGCATGCCAGCCTGGGTTTGTATTTGCTGTGGCTGCTGTTTGCTCCTGGCCTTGGTTTTCTGATTATGTCATTAGGGAAGTAAAGCCCAGCTTTACTGAGTAACTATGAATGCAGAGATGAGAGAGGCTTGGCTCTTCTAAAAAGGGAAATATCAGGAAGACAGTTTGGAGTCCCAGAGGCTGCTCTGGGGTGGGGATTGTAAAGGTGGGGCTGGAGAATGGGTCCGAAGTTAGGACTGAGCAGCACAGGCCACGGAGAACTCATTTAGATTGCCCTTCTAACCTGGAGCTCAGGGAGGCCCCGGTTCCCTCTCAAATGAGCCTCAGAACCTGGCAACACATTTCTTTCTCTTTCTTTCTTTCTTTCTTTCTTTCTTTCTTTCTTTCTTTCTTTCTTTCTTTTTTTTCTTTTCTTTTCTTTTCTTTTCTTTTCTTTTCTTTTCTTTTTTTCTTTCTTTTCTTTCTTTTCTTCTTTTCTTTCTTCTCTTCTTTTCTTTCTTCTTTCTTTCTTTTTTTTTGAGATGACGTTTCACTCTTGTCACCCAGGCTGGAGTGCAGTGGTTCAATCTCTGTTCACTGCAACCTCTGCCTCCCAGATTCAAGCAATTCTCTTGCCTCAGCCTCCCAAGTAGCTGGGATTACAGGTGCCCACGACCATGCCCAGCTATTTTTTTTTTTTTTTGTATTTTTAGTAGAGATGGGGTTTCATCATGTTGGTCAGGCTGGTCTCAAACTCCTGACCTCAGCTGATCCACCCACCTCA